CAGGTTAATGAGTTTTGCCAAAATGATTTAGCACCCACTGGTTCACTATTGAACTTACTTGAAAGAAACTGTTTGCTCTTAGCTATTGGATCTTCCATCCCAGATTAGAGCGGACTGAACTCAACTACTTATTCTGATTATAAACTTTTGGGGGAGTAAGGAACTGTGTCTGAGAGCATGCTCTAGTGGCTTAGATCTCTACCTGCTAATCAGGAGCCTCAGGCACCATTTCTGACTACACAATTTTTAGCATGGTGCTTTCTGGATTCCATCATCATGTGTGTCATCTTTTGAGTAGGAACTACAAATACCACCCCACTTTTGTGCTTCACAGACAACCTCTAATACAAACTTCAGTTTGTTACACACTCTAAGGAGAAGGCTTTGGACAAGTTGTGTGTACCAAGAAAGATGACTTCCACCTGCATGACCCTGAAGGCTGGCCTATATTTGTCTAATGTATCCCATCAGCCCTTAAGATTTTGTAATGTATGCTGTTCCGAGCAAATGAATCAGCTCTGGACTCCTACAAGAGCAGATGGGTTGCAGGCAACCAGACTCCAACTTTCCTTCCTCAAGTGGCCACGTGTCACTTAACCGCAGGTGTCCTACATCTGACAAGCCTGGTCAGGAACCTGCCAGGCTTTAACTTTCATCTTCAGACAGTGTTGACACAACCACTCTGGACAGAAGTACGCTACACTGACACTGTATCAGATTTGTTCAGAATTATGCTGTACTGATAGTCAACTTGTTGTGCCCTGAACAAGTTAGTCTGAGAAATGCTTCTTTAAAAAGAATGAATAATTTTAACAGCTAATCTTGACCCATACTTTTTACACTAAAATACATTTTTTCCAGAAGTAAAAACCATAAAAATCCTGACAACCTGGCTGTAGCTAATCAAATTTGAACTTCGTATTTTTTACAGGGAAGGGAAAAAAACAGAGGTAACAACCACAGTAGTTAGTATAAAAACTTACTAGACACATTTTGACCATGCTGACCCCAATTCAGCAAGTCACTAGACAGGACTGAAGAGAGGAGTGTAAAAAGGTGATCTTCAATACAAACTGGAGCTTCTCATTCTCAGTGGGAAGGTCTACAGCTTTTACAATCATCCCCTATTCTAATACTGGCTGTCTGAGAATAAACAGGTCCATTAGCCATGTATCAGTGTTTGCATTTGTGATGTCTTGGTGCCAAACTATTCCAAAATCAATTTTTCTGTATCACTAGTCAAAAAACAAAACAAAACAAAACAAAACAAAAAACACTAATGAAGATGCTGGATAAAGAAACACAGTTCACAAAGTATACTGACATCAGGTAATCTTCATCATCTAAATAGACTTGAAAAATGTTCTCCTTTTTTACAACACACAGTTTTGGGTATCAATATTTTCACTTAGCTACGATATTACCTTTTATTTGGGATACTACCTTTCATCCCAAAATGTGGTGACTCCATCTGCCTGTAGGATGAAGGTAGCTATACACAGAGATGAAGAGAAACTATCTAAAGCCACATGAACCATTATGAGAAGAAACTCAATCAGGACAGCAGGGAAAACAAAAATTTGGAAGAACTGTATTATCTAGATTAGTATCTGGCCAGTAAATTGGGGTTAGCATTCTATTCTCATCCATGGACAAAAAAGGACCCTGCTTTTAAATTTCAGTGAACAGATGGTGAAATCCCACTTCCTGTTACTTTCATGCTGGTAGCGTAACTCAATACTGCATCAGCCAGGAGACTGACACCTACAGAGCTGCGAGAACACTCCACATGGAAATTGGCCTCTCCTTGGAAGTCTCCTAACCAGGACCCCTGCCATATGATTTAAAGAATATCACACACTCAAATTTGCAATGGCTTTGGAAACTGCAGGCAGAAGTTGATGCAGTGTGCCTCGGTTAGTCTAATGCAAGATAATGTGTATATTTTTATGCCTTTATTCTTAACTGCAATTGCATTTTAGTGGCCTCTGTGTTAAGGAAAGATTATGTCTGGTGTCATTATTACCAGCCTAACTACCCAGAGAAAGCTGTAACAAAGTTATGTCGCAGAAGACATTAGTGAACATCCCACCAAATGCTATTAAATAAGAAAAAAACCCATCATTTTATTCAGGACTAATGTTGTCAGTACGCAGATCTCTCGAATTTGCAGTGGTTTGCATCAGCTTCAAAACGGCAATACAGAAAAGTGCACAGAAGCAGAAATTAAACCTGTGAAACAGACAAACCAAGGTCTTCCCCTCTGAGAACAGACAGAAGCAAACATGTAAACACCAGCAGCATAATGCTGAAAAAATGCAGCTTTATACATCTCTGAAAAGAAGCAGATACAGTGGATTTTGAATACGTCACAAAATAGGTACACAGGCTGACAGAGACTACTACAGGTTTTAAGGCTCTTAGATCTCTTTTCTTCAAGACCAGTCCTGAAAGGCTACGTAGTCTCTTCCATGTAGTAGCTTTAGTAGCTACTAGTAGAATAGCACAAACTTACCTTTGTGGAATTTTATTGAAATAAAGAAAAAATAAACTTGCAAGCCAATTCTGAGGAAAATAATAACTCAGTTTTAAACCGTGCAATTTCTTTTTTAAAAGATTTTTCAGAAATATGATATTCGAATAAAAGTGGCAAAAAATCCAAAGAATGAAGATCATACTGTCACTGTGCTTCATTTTGTTAAGCGAGTGAAACCTTAGAGCCCTCAAATTTTCATCTACTTCATACTTCAGTATTAGAAAGTGTTACATCAGCATAGTCACCAGGTGAAGCTGCTAGTTTATTCTAAATGGACTTCCTTCAGACGCTGGCACAGATGATGAGTGATTGTCCAATTCTGAAGCTATCAGAACTGAACGGATTTAGCAATGTCATAAACACCTCTCGAGGGAGTCACCTGGTGTTGAGAACTCACTTTACATGCCGTGTTTCAAAATGAGTTTTAATGGATTTACATTAGATTCAAACTCACTTTAGAGCTATTATTTCTCCCTTTCAACCTTTTCACCCACTACTGCAATGTAATACGGCATATTCAATAATCACATGTTTGCAGGCCCGTGGTAAAGTAAACAAAACTTCAAAGGCTTATTATTTAAAGGCTCTGTATTACAGCCGTAGGCCTGACTGTTATTCTTCCTCATCACCCCCTGGGCCCAAAGTACATAATCGTCCAGTAATTGAACTGAAATGTCTAAATGACTAGATCCCCTGAAGGACATAGGTAGTTAGTAGCAAGGAAAGTAAGAGACGTTTAAAAAAAAACCTCATGGACTTTCCTGCACTACTTAGAAACACTATGTAAATGTAACTGACCTGGACATGCTGGGCTCTTGCAAAAAAAACAGAACAATACATGGGTATTTCTGGAGTTGTAACTGAAGTAAAGATTAAATGTAGAACTGCGCTGTATTTGGAAGCAAAGGTCTTACATTCAAATTATTTTCAGAAGAATTAAGAATGATCAGAAATATACATACATACACAGAAGTATATATAACACAATAGTATCGCTAACACCATGTGAAAGCAAACCCCTCTAGGTCCTCGTATTTAATAGCCCCTCCAAAAAGTGTAATGGATAGGAGATCCCAGGCTTTCATACACTGTAACTGTCAAAGCACACAGGAGATAGAGTAGTGAAGGCTCTGACAGCTCTCTTTTACATTCTAAATGACATCTGCATTCAACAGAACAGAAATAAAGATTAAGGGAAACACCTGATATGATAGCACTCAGCTTACCTCAAAATGCAATATTTAAAAAGTACAGAGAAACACAGGTCTGCCTTCTTTTACTGCAAGTAAAAACTGGTGTCAAAGCCTCAGAGGTCTTCACCGCTGCCAGAAAGGCAAGTACCGCAGCATTCAACAGACTACAGGGGCAGAAGCCACAACCTCTGACTATGCAACTGTTAAAATCAAAAGATGTTTTGCCTGAGAAGGAAGGGAGAAGACAGTCTTTGAATGCACACAGAAAAAAGACTATGGGCACAGCCACACAGCACAGGAAAATTAACTTGGCCAAAACCTTTGCAGCCCTTCTTGTACTTCAGTGATGAGCAGAATGCCCGTTGCTAATTGATGGCGCCCCACTGATTCCATACCTGATGCAGTACGTACCTACTGCAAATCTGTTTTAAGAGGTTATTAGTATTACGGCTTCGAATGAAATACGTCAGCACACAGATCAGAAGAGATGATTTCAAATAGATTTTTGCTGGTTGATTATATAAACGATGCTTCTTATTGCTGGAATAACATCTCAAAGGCAATATAATGACGACATGACAATGTATGTAAATCAAGAACTGCATGTGGGTTTATTTTACACTTGAGAAAACAGTGGATTTAATTGTGTGAACCAAAATGTACTGTACAATATTAATGATAAAACATCAAAATGTATAATTCATAGTGCATTGCTTGCTTTATTTTTATTTATTTATTTTTTTGTCAGATAGTTCCTTTAAGTACATGCATCTGGAAAGATGCAGGTGCCAGTAAAATTCCTCTATTTATATCAAGCTGCAGGAACTAAATTTTATTCAAAAAGTGTGGTTTTACATTATATACACAGAAATCGAATATAAAATGACAATATAAAAAGTTAAAAGAGAAAGCATACAGCCAGAAGGTACAAAGAAAGTTGAACAGTTTAAAATGGTACGATATGTAACATGTATTTTTTTTAAGCTGATGCTGGCAATTTACAAGGAACAGAATCCAACATTTGCCCCATTTTTTTTTTGTTTTCATTTACCAATGCAGCACACTATAGAAAGGTCAGCTTGTACCAAAGCTTAACATTTGTAAATAACTATAAACTGCAGTATTTTACAGGAAAAAAAAAAAAAAAAAAAAAAAAAAAAAAAAAAAAAA